TCGGCAAGGACCACGACGGCGTCGCAGTCCTTCAAAAATAAACCCCAATTCTAATTCTTCTTCGTCGTCCGACTAGTAAATGCGTATCGGTTCCAAGCTCCCAACGACCTGCCCAATCGTTGGTGGCCATTTGGTATTATATATATAACAAAGTGCGCTTGAACCAGCGCCATGGCACACAAGCGACAAGGCGTACTAGTAGTGCAGCAGCACTCGGAACCAAGTGAATTGACATAATAATGGCCATTTTTACTTGCGCCTTCCACTTCTCACTTCGAAAAAAACCGCGCAAATCGCAGAGAACGGTATCGTCTAATCACCGAAACCATCGCGGAAGGGTTAGGGTCAACGTTGGCATTGTAATTACATGTCGTTCAAAAGCGCCAAGTAGGGTTTAATTTCGTCCGGTGCCTTGCCAAGTGTCAATTGCTGGATGGTGTGCACTCAGGAGCTAACAACGTGCCCCAAGGCGAACCAAGTATGCGTCGGCCAAGCTCTCAAGTGCAAGAAGTAAATACGGCCTCTTTATGCCCAATATCCGACGTTGGATTGTAGTATCGGTTGAGTCTAGACAAACAAAATATTAAAGAGGCAACTAATTTCTGTCAGGCTGAAAAATACATAACGTTAGCGTGATTACCTAGTAATGACGCATATACTTGCCAACAAGTACTAGTACTAGTACTTAGTACAAATACATTCTATTTGACTCGAGCGCAATGATCGAGCATTTCGCGCGTCGCTCAGCTTACGACGCCCGAGACACTGACCACCAAGGCCGCGACGTTAGTCCGAATATACTTGCTAGAAGCTGGTCGCTACGGTGGCTCAAGACGCGTGGTGTGCGCGCTACTAGTACATAGTACCCCACACGATTACCAAGGGTCAATAAACAGTTTATCGACCATTGCGATTACCACGCCTGCTCCAACTGCCTCCTAGCTTATAACCAGTAACGTCGCGGCGAAGGCGAAGCTACATCCTCTAGAAAGTCTAGTTCTGTATAATGACAGAAGACTTGTAAAACAAACTGC